GGTAATGTAAAGCTATCTTTTCTTCCATTCTCCTCCCACATCCTAGTGATAGGAGCCAAGAATTGAGAAAATGGAATTCTTGAAAAAGCAATATAAAACATTCTTAAATCAGCATATTATTTGCACCAATGAATTTATACTTATTCAAAAGTTCTCATATTAATCTTCTATGCAAATAAGACATTTCCTGGACTTATAAACTGAAAAGGAGTTAAAACCAGAAACAAGTGGGGGTTTGTGCCTAAGAGCAGCATTTTGTCCTAGCAGACTCTCTTCCTCCCCCTCCCAAACTCATAATTCAGTTCTCGTATCAGGCATGAAGTGAAATTACAGCTCAGTGCAGAAAATTAGGACCTGACCTTGCAAAAACAAACAGCTTCCCTTTACAATGTGGCTCCAAGACTTCCAATAAACCCTGTCCCTTAAGCAGTGCCATGTATAGCCAGGCCTGTAGAACTGCATTGATCTTGCTCAGTTAGCCACAAGAAAAAATGCTAGGAAAAATGGAAAATAGTCTAGAACAAACAGATTAGATCTGGAGATACTAGTCATAATGTTTTCTTCCTTCCTGTATTTTCTCTGCTTTATGCTCCCCTCCCCATCACATGTTTGTACTAAAAGCAGATTTCCCCTCTTCTCTTTCCAACTAGCAATCTAAAGGGGAAAAAAATATAGGAGGAAAAAAAAAAAAAGAAAGAAAGATTTACTATCTCTTCACATTCATTATAAAAGTTTCCAGGCACAACAAATCCTGTGGGCATGGAAAAATATAACAGTGCCTCTTCGTCAGGCTTGAGGTTGCTGGAGCATAATCAGTAAAACATGTCTTTCAGAAATCAGAGGGAAAGGCATGAAAACATTTCACAGGGAAAATCCCACCAAGCCATGCAAAAGGATTGCATTTGGATAGGGAAAGGAGAACTAGGAAAACAAGGCACAGGATTTGTCATGAGTAGGAAGAGCTACTTATTTTGCAGAAAGATCTATTGCAAACTGTTTTTCTGTCTAATCAATTAGATGCATGTACTACTGTTTGATGGTGTGAGCAGCTGTTTCTTCAAAGAACCACAGGGATGTAGCTTTTGATTCTGCAAGATCACACATGTAGTGTACATAGAAGCAAAACTCTGTACTCTGCAACTTTAAAGGTTTCCCAAACAACTACCTGAGCATCAGAGTTCTTTGTACTGTATTTCCTACTACATCAGGAACAGACACAAAACACATCAATAAGAATGAGGAGTTGGCCTAGCAGGATACACACTGCTGTCAGAGCTGTATTATTGAAAAACCTTTGAGCTCACATCATCATCCAATTCACCTTGTTTGAAATCTATGAAAATTTCTATGTATAATCTTTCATCTTCATGAACCACAAAGATCAACAAGTTTCAAGTAAATTCAGCTGGTGAAATGTTGTCTGTGTTGCAAATCAAGTGTTAGCTATGAACCCCTAAAGAATTACTCATGGTCAGCTTTGTGTTGCCTTCCTTGGGCACTCTGCTCTGGTTTTTAACACCTAACAGTGAGCCAGAGAGCAGCACCTAAAAGCTGCCTTTGAGAAACTACAGAGAAGGACTACCACATCCCCTGAGAGAACTCTCTATGCCCAAAGGGTGGAATGTCCTAAAATACATCAAAAATTACTGCTGGAAATGTGGTGCTATGAAAACTGTCAGGTTAAAGACATTCATGAGCTGACAGTAGCAGCAAAATGACAAAGGTCCTGAAGACAGCCAATTGTTTTTTCATATTTCTTTTTAGTAGACTCTTGAAAGAACAAAATATGTTTTGATTAAACTCTTGAAATGAGATGAGCCTTTCCAATTACTCTAGGAACTAGAGAAGTTTGTTAAGTACTGTGAATTGCCTTCACCAGCAGACCAAGGATCTCTCTTGTCTTGAGGACAGAATCTATGTAATGCAGGGACAATGGTTTAAATATCTCACAACAGCTATTTGCAACTGAACAACAAAGGTATTGAAATAGATGGATAAAGACAATCTTACTTGAGCCACAAAGCATTGAGATACAGCTCAGAAGAGCTTATGTCAATACTCATTGGGAAAAACTCTTTTCAGGATAATGAGAATGAACAGGTTCAAAAGGCTAAAAATAACTCCAGGTTTGTTATGTAGCACGAGGAACTGGAGCTGGAATCAACTTCTCCCTCCTGATGGGAAACAGACTGTTCTCAGGCAGACATGGTAACTGCAGGTTCCTCTGCCTTGCACATTGGATTGATACCTCCTCCCCACACAAAAAGAATGAGAAACGCCACAGTCACAACAATGATCAGTCACCAGCATGATTATACTCTCAGGTTAAATGCAATCAGTACACTGAGATATGAGCACAACCAAAACATTCTTTCCATTCATCACTACATTATTTGAACCTTACAGTAACTACAGTTAAATATTATGAAGATTATCACAGAGAAATTCAGAGTAAAAGCCATCATATGAAAAATATGAAACATATGAAAAATAAAAATTTCCATACAGGTGAGGAAATGAGTATTGTCTCACCTACACGATCCCATTACTTTTGGAAAGCACTTATAGCCAATTCCCAAGGAGAGAAAGGCAATTCAAAGCATGTAAATCCACTCAGCAGAAATAAAAATGGATATTAACTTTGTTTCTTTTGTCCAGATGAAAGGCAGTCCAGAAGGCCTTACAGTGGCAAGGAAACAGGAGCTCTCACCAGCTGAACTGGTGAATAACTGATTTACCTTTGTTACCTCCAAGAAAAAGGGCAGCATTTTAGCCACAAAGGCAAATCTCAGGAAGCTTGGAGAAATGAAGAAAAACATTTTGAGCTGAAGATAATGATAAATTCAAAGAAGAGACAGCCTGTCCCCACTGCCTGTTAATTCAAGCATTGCCTCAGCCTAGGCACACAGACAAGTCTTTTGCTTAAATCAGGCAGCACTCTGAGCTTGCTGGCCCAGCAGCACACCTCAAACACCAGTGATTTTCTCCCTGCCAATGTAGCAAGGCCGCTGCTGCTGAACAACTGCTCATCAGCAAGAACATAAAGAAAGAGAGAAGAATAAACAACCCAAAATAAAGGGCCACACTGAGTCAGAGCGCAGATCATCTTACCCAGTTCTGCCTCCCAGCAAGAGCTGAGATAACAATGTTACACCAGTGCAGGCACGGAGGGAGCAGTGCTTCCCCAGCAATACGAACATTCCCTCAGCTCCCAGCAATAGCAGCTCGGGGATTTCCTGAGCCAAACGTGATGGGTTTGCACTTCATAATCCTCCGTGGATTTTTTCATCAGTGCAACAAAGTAAACTGAGTGAGCCTTAAGTGGAAAGAAAACTGCTAAAAGCCACAAGAAGGAATAAAGGTAAAGGACTGGCAGGGGGAGTTAGAAATTCAAGTGTCCCTGGCAGGAAGAAAAAAGGAAACCATCACACAAAACTTTGGTCCAAGTTTTACATTATCCATTGCTGTTCAAGAACCAAGAATTTCTCAAGAGTTTTCTTTTTCAGTTCATGTAATCACAAGATAAGAATCCTAGAGGCAGAGCTATTACTTAGAAGTTCAAGTATATCAGTTAGGAGAATGTGGATTCTCCTATGCTGGGGAGAGCCCAAATGATGAATTTTATTAAAATATTTAAAAAGAATAATTATTTTGCAAACTCAAATATTTAAGGTGTTTCTAACTTATCTGGCAAGTCATTATGCTTTGGCTGGAGTTCAGCACAGTATTTACCATTCTGACAATACGTAAAAGAAAATGAAAACATTTTCTCCTCTGTTTTCCAGACCTACAGAGCTTAGCAGAACACAGCAGAGATTTGATACAGCCTTGCTGGACTGAAACTATAAATATGTAACAGGGCAAAGGTCTTCCTGTTTCAGAAGCTTACTTGATTTCTTCTGAGCATTATGCTTTTCAGGAAGCAGAATGGGAAGTAAGTGTTTTTAAGTATTTTTTAATTTATTTTTTCTACACACTCTCTGACAGCAGAGGGTATAAGGAAAGACCAGTAAACACAAACCTTGTCCTGACTATCTATAAGAGCCCATGAGAAACGTGGGTATCATGAAGTTCCCACCAAGCTGCTGCATTTGTGTGCAGCTCTCTTCTGTGCATCACAGTTCTGACTATTATATCCAACAAACATTAAGACATGTTCATCTCTCCAGCTTTGGAAAGAGGAAAGTAGCTGTCCTTTCACTGCTTTCTAAAATTTCTTGACTGAAGAGATTGTGTTAACAGTGTAGCATGGTAGAGGTTAAAAAAAAAAAACAAGAAAAAATGTTATAGCATCATCAGAAAGCAATTTTACTATCTCCTCTTACCCACCACTGATTTGTAATTTGTATTGACAGGAATCCTGCCAACTTAACACACTACTAGCTAATGATATGACATGCCCTCTGGTTCATCCTGAAAAAGATACCAGCAATAATAAAAACTTCATTCCTAGCTACATTCATAGTTGCAGAGTGACTTCAGGAAGTAAATTAATATTTTTAAAATTAAAAGTCAAAGAACCAAACTTTTTCAATATACCAATCACCAAATACTGGATGGCTTGATACCTGCATCAGATGGTAATTTTTAATTTTTACTCTTTATCACTACATAGTGTATTTCAAGATCCTAATACTAATTCTTAATAACTCCAGAGTAAAATTGAAATTATTTTAATTCTGGCCCCAAGTATTTACAGCGATCACTGTTTGATTTACAGCACCATTCAAGTATCAGCAATATTGATGTAATGCAAACTGAGAGAGTGCAGTACAAACTCTAGTTCTCTGCAATCCAGTAAAGCAACTGCTCCTTAAATGCATTAATTAGAAGTTCTTACTTTCTGCCAAACGCAGCTCACACTGTCAGTCTTGCTGATTTCAGTCAGACTATCTATTGAGTGAGGTCACTCACACAAGATGGAATCTGTAGGTCTAGACCCTTCCATCCTGATTTATAATTAAGAAGCACACGAGTCTAAGCAGGAATTTAACACTTACGCTTCCACAGTCTGTTCCTCACCATCTTCATCTGAGCTGCTACACGTGGCATCAGAGTCCAGGTCCTTCTCCACACGAGACAGCAGCCCTCCAGTAGAAAGTGCAAAGCCGCGGATTTCACCTGGTGCGACGCTAACTCCGTTCTGTACATCCACACTCAAACTACTCTCCGAAGGAGTCGTGTTGCTTTCCGGCCAGCCTTCAGTGCATCTGAGGGAGCTATTGCTCAGAAATCTAGCTGGCTCATGGAAAACCTTCATTCTCTGAAGCTGATGTTTCACAAAGCATTTCAGCTGCTGATCACAGTGTTTGATAACATGCTTTGCCAGGAGCATTTGTAAACGCTTCTGAGTTCTTTTGGCGCGACTGATTTCCATTTGTTGCTTAGTGACACACTGGAGTAAGCGAGCATACACCTCCTCCTGGGTGCAGCTCAAAATCCCTTCTGAAGGCCCGTGAAGAATTTGGTGTAATAAATCCCCTTTTATTGTTTCAGTGCAGACTTCCAAAGCCCTACCCAAAACCCCATTCTTCTTGTACCATTTACCATTTAAAAGTTGCATTTCTTCTGCATTACTGGATTCAGTTACACTTGAACCTGAAAGTCTCTGCATTCCTGCCAAGTTTGGAGATGTGGTCTCTGAAAACGCTGCCCCTTTGACCTGTTGCTCAGGTCCTGAGTGACTAATATGACCAAATGATGTGTCAGCCCCATTATGTAATGACTTTCTCATCTTGGAGCAGCCAGGCTCTCCTGCTTTCGTCTGCTTACCAGTTTTGCTGTTAAACGCAGAATTTGTACTCATTAACAAGACAGACTGATAGCACTTGGAGGATGGTGGGGAACCAAAATGCTGCACACTGAAGATATCATTCCTGAGGCTGGGCTCAGCAGTGGGGAACCCCAGGACTGAGCAAGTAATCCGTGCGATGGAGTCCTCTTTTATCTTCTCTTCCACTGCTCTGGAATTTTCCATGCACAAAGCTGTATCAGACTCCATAGCTCTAGAGGACAAAGAAGGTGACAAGTGGATACCATGACCTTTTGTTGTTGCCTCTCTGAGAGCTGGTGTCATTATAGCTACGGTAGGTAGTTTACAGCAAACCTGAAAATAACATGGGCCATGTAAATTTTCTCATTTTCATGACACAGTACAAATACAACAACTCTGTTAGACATTTCATTCTCTCAACGCCATTCAAAAATTCCATAAAAAAGGACATTATCTAAAGAACACAGACTATGTCACCTCCCAAGTCAAACAAGAACACCCTTTCTGTTTTTTCTTTATTTCATTCAGAGGCTGTTCCGTGTGCAATGAAAGCCTTTACATCTCAGGGGAATAAATGTTCATACCTCATTTCATTTTTGATTCTATCAGTCTGAGAAATAAGACCCAAAAAGTTCAGGTCTGTCATCTAACCTTGCCTAAACTGAAAAACATGACCTTGGGCAATGTGACTGGCACTACTGTGAGAAACATATTTACTGTAAATCTATATAAAGAAGGCATTTGATTAATTATTATGTATTCTTATAAATACACATTAGAAACCAATCAACAAGGCTAATGCTTTCAAAATAGAAACCTCTATGTTCTGAAGTTTCCTACCAAAAAAATTCTTTCCTGTGCCTTTGGATACCACTCTATTCATCAGGCACTGTCTGTGTAATAATACAGATTATTTTTCATAACAAATTGAGAAATGAGCAGTTCTCCTTGCCAAATCATTTGCTTGTGGTTTGCCAATTAACAAAGGGCTCCCAGACTCTGGGATCTAAAGACCAATATCAACCTTCACCCCTTCTTGTCAGCAGCTATGTTGCCAAGACATACTGTATCTACTCCACACAGGAATCACTTGCAAAGTACTTACAGCTGTGTTTAGGAGATGGTTAAATAAACCCAATGAATGACTTAATTGAACATGGCCTGCAGAAGCCTGAAAGGTAAGTTCCTCTCAGCTCTTCATTAAGAAGCTAGTGACAAAACTAGAAACCATATGAGCAGTAGCAAATGTGAGTGCAGCCCAGCAAAGGCACAGTAAATTCTGTTGAACTGTGTACTAGCTGAGCAGCACTTCCACTGCCCTCCTTTTCATGCCTCCAGTTTCCTTGATCTGCACAGCAACTGCCTAGCTCAGCAACTTTCAGTTCACAGATCCCATAAGGGGTCAATGATTCTGAGACTCCCACATATGGATCTTAAGAAAAGATCTGCCTGAAGCCTTAGCTTGTTTATAAACTACGTTTTTTTATACTGAAGGTGCAAACATTCAAGTGAGATGTGGAAACCTAGGGTGCTGAGAAATATCAGTTTGGATACTTGCTCCTTAACCCTCAAAACGTGAAGCAAAACACGGAGAGCCACAGGCTCCAGTACTGCCTTACCACTGTCTGTATGCTTTGTTCACCTTTCATTGCTCATGTGTACTTCATCCATAAGGTTTTCATCACCCTCCTAGCATCACTGGCACAAGGTTTGGTGGTCCTACTGCTAATCATAAATGATACCATTAAAGTCCCCAGGATTTTAACCTTTACAAATAAGCCAATAACTTCAGTCTTAAGAGGAGCTCAGCACAAAGTCCTCCCAGTGGAGAGCTGTTCAGGAAGAACCCCATTCTGGGATCAGACAGGGGAATACACTGTTGAGAGGTGGAGACCCAAATCCTAAAGGCACTGGTGACTCAGCAATGCTCTCAGCACCTGGCTGACTCTTGTCTTTCCTCTGGTAAAAGCTAGCAGGCCTGCAAATTTGTGAATCCGAAGGAGTGTGAATTCAGACAACAATGCCTCCCTGCCCCTAACATAATGGCAAACAACTACAGCAAGTCAGAACAACTGTGCATGGCTAAAACGTAAGGGGAGAGAACTGAACAGTTCCTCTGAGGGGTTAATGTGAGCTCAGGAGCCCCTGTGTTTGACCTCTCCCTGAGAATTCCAAGAAGCTCTCCAAGAAGAGCACCATCAGCCTGGTGCATGCACCTAGCAATGTATTTATAACTCTTCCAACTCCACCATCCACCTCCGTTAGTCTGGGTGGCTCAACAGGCACAGGTTGCTACTCCTGAAGCCCAGGAAACATCCACACACTGCAGCTGTTCAGGTAAAAAAGTACTTTGGAGATGTGGATTGCACACCTGTATGAAGGTGGAGGTTATTCAAAGAACTGGCAGCACAAAGCTTTATAGTGCTGTGTTTTAACTCCATCACATTCCCTCAAACACCACATACCCTTCTGGTACAGTTTCAAATTTCCAAAATTGCAATGAATACCATTACTATTTTTTTTTCCATCTGGGGGACTTATTTTTAACTCTTCTAGGGGAAAGAGGGAAGAATGAAAACACCCTCATATGGAACACAAACACTGAACTAAAGAACATTGACAAATCATTCATTTGGAGTGCCTGACCAAGTATGCCCAAACTGCAAAGCAGCTAAAAAATAAGTAAAATGCTTTTTAAGAGGGAAATCACTCAATTAATCCCTTACTCAGCAATTTGGAAATGTAATACAATGTTTCTGCTCTGAAGACAATGTGAGATACTCAGGTGTGCTCATCTCACTACAGTGACATAAAAAAGAACTTATAAAAGCTGGTGGTACTGCCACAGTGTCCAGACCTTGGCATTTCTCCAAGAAGTTCACACACACACAAAGTGTCATAGGTACAGCAGCAAAACAAAGTATCTGCTGCAAAAAAATATAAACAAATTTTAGTACAAGTACTTGGATTGACAAAAGTTACATAAATTACTTTTTTACACATTTTATTTCATTTTGGCAGGAAGCTGCAAAAATTATTTAATTCCACCCATATGGGAAGGGAGTTTCCAGAGCAAAACCAATATCTTGGAGGGGAGGTAAAAATAAAGGCAAAGAGTGAGGGAAGACAAGTACTGCACAGTGGTATACCAGAAAAGTATTTTCCTTCTGGGAAAATCTTTTTTTGTCATAGGTAAACCATTTCACAGATTTTTTTTTTCCATTGTGTGTTACTTGAGGTTTCAAAACCAGAACAGCTGAAATTCTGCTAAACTGGCAAACAGTTCGCTTTTCATCTACTGAATAAACACTCCACTTGAAAGACTAAGTACTGTAAAAAGAAAAACTGACATTAAATAAGTACTGGGGAAGGGAAGAAACAAGTACCAGACAAACACAGTAAAGCAACTGATGTTTAAAGTGACTTTATGCTTATCCTCCCTAATGCCTTAATCACCCAGGAGGATCTAGCTGGGAACTGCAGTTTAGCACAGCAGGACCTGCACCCTGCTCCCCTCCAGCACTGCAGCTACAGGTTCCTAACCCCCAGTGGCTCCAGCTCCTCTACCTCTCCCTCTGCTGATTTGTCTTCCCACTTCTTCCTCATACCCTTTCCCTACCAGGCTTACCTCAACAGAATTTGCCTAAATCCTGAAACTAGTGTCTTCATGTTGTGATTAGCAGCACCCTGTTAAAAGAAACACAACCAAACCCAGCCACAACTCAGCACGCAGGGTGGCACTCCCTCCCTTCCCAGCTTTTGTTTACAGTCCTTTCACTTTTTGACTCTTCTCCCCCTTGCATAACACTATCACTTTGGTTACACAACACTGCAGACAGTGTTCTGGGGGATTTTTGCTTGGGGGGAGGATTGCTTTGTCTTTTAGTGGATTTTTTTGTTTGTGATCTTTTCGTTTCCAATGACAATAAAACTTCACTCGCATGAGGCTTTTAAGGGCTCCTCTGCAGCAGCCTTCTCTCCTTGTAAATCGAGTCATTTTTCCTCATCATAAACACCTGAAATTTTCTCCTCAATAATGAGATTCCTCAAGACCAGAAGGAGATTTTTACGATTATTTATTTTTGTTTTGAAATCAGAAGAAGCCTACAAACAACATTTTAAATTAATGTGACTGTTTCCAGCTCATTCACAGATAAACAGTGTTTCAGATAAGCCAACTTCCACTGTTTATTCCTTGCATAGATGGCATTTCTAAAGCAAAGCAAAGTCCCTGACAGCAGCCAGCCTCTGGTGAAACACTCAAAATTAATCTCAGCAAGAATACTCAAAAATATTTCAACCTGTTTTAAGGCCTCTTAGAAACCTGCAGAAAAGAGAGCAGCTACAGAAGCAAACTGCAACACAACTGCCAAAACCTGCTTTCCTACAGCTTTGTGCTGTTTGTCCTGTAATCCCCAGGCAGCTCCTCCTGGGCAGCCTTCCTGATAATCACTGGACAAAAATAAAGTGCTCTGGCAGGGGGGCACTGCTGCAGCACTGCCTGAGCAGAGTGCAGCACGCGGGACCTGAGCCTGGCCAGCTCCTGCAAGCCTTGCCTGGTGGCAGGCATCCCTCAGCCTTTAATCACCCCTCCCAATTTCTGGAAAACCGACAGGATGGTGGTGATTTCTAAGAATAGCAAGAGCAGCTCAATAGCACAGCCTGCATTTTCTCATGGAGTAGTCTGCAGTAAAAAAGATATTGGTCCCACTGGGCATGTCCTGGATAGGAGCATGAAAGGAAAAGGAAAGAAGCCCATGTTTAATAACACACCTGGGACCAGCCTTTAAGAGTGAAAAAAAAAAAAATCATTTCAGTAGGCAGCTTTTGTTTTCACTTCAAAAGCAGACCGGTTACTCGTGATGTGTATTTAAGTATTGTAGTGTTTTGTTCTATTAATAGATTGGGCAAAAACCCATAAGCCCAAACAGGATTAGTGGGGAGTCTCCACGTTCAGCAGTGCTCACTGTGCAGGCACAACTATCCACACACAACACTCCAGGGTGTTGTACACCCCAGAAGATACAAGCACAAATTCCTGCTACTTGGAGAAAAAACCCCCCACCCCAAAGGATCTCTCTTTGAACACTAAGAGATCTCCATTTAAGGCAGACCACCCAAAGTTTCAACCATAAAAAACATCCAGAAGGAGGCACTTCAAGTGGAACTCATCATCACTAATTTATGGTAAAATCCATGACTCATTAAAATATCTGAACAGGTTTGTTTTCCTCCTTGTTCAGATCTGCTTCTGAACAGAGAATCGATAAAATTTCCAAGTTTACTACCACATCATCAACTAATTCTTCTTCAGTCTATATCACCATATTTGCAAAGCAACATCTGAAGTGATTTTTAATATATATTAAATGCTTTTTGTAGTACAACAGGTGCCTCTGCAAGAAAGTTGCACGTATGTCTCTATCTGCAATAACTTCTGGTACTTTTCATCGTAAATTCCATATCAACATGTCAGTGATACTTTTGAATTTCAGCATTTGAAGACGAGCTATAAAACCTGGTCTTAAATGAGACCCACTCAGCTCTTAAGATGCTAATTAAGATGACTGGAATTTAAGCTCCTCAGAACATTCCCCAGGATTCCAAACCATGGACCAACACAGCAGGAGAGTCCTAAGGCACACTGACTGCTTTCTGTGTAATTTTTAGGGTTTTTTTTTTTATTGAACTAGTACAAAAAGGAAGTATTTGCTCTTTGACACAAGGCATACTTTAATAATTTGGATTTTTTTTTAACTCGCTCACATTGCAAATAGAATCGATAAAATTTCCAAGTTTACTACCACATCATCAACTAATTCTTCTTCAGTCTATATCACCATATTTGCAAAGCAACATCTGAAGTGATTTTTAATATATGTTAAATGCTTTTTGTAGTACAACAGGTGCCTCTGCAAGAAAGTTGCACGTATGTCTCTATCTGCAATAACTTCTGGTACTTTTCATCGTAAATTCCATATCAACATGTCAGTGATACTTTTGAATTTCAGCATTTGAAGACGAGCTATAAAACCTGGTCTTAAATGAGACCCACTCAGCTCTTAAGATGCTAATTAAGATGACTGGAATTTAAGCTCCTCAGAACATTCCCCAGGATTCCAAACCATGGACCAACACAGCAGGAGAGTCCTAAGGCACACTGACTGCTTTCTGTGTAATTTTTAGGGTGGTTTTTTTTTTTTTTATTAAACTAGCACAAAAAGGAAGTATTTGCTCTTTGACAAAAGGCATACTTTAAGAATTTGGATTTTTTTTTAATTGGCTCACACTACAAACTGGAAATTGAAAATTCCCATTTTTAACTTGCTTCCCATTAGAGAGGGAGTACGGAATACCTCAGTCACTGATACATTTTTGGTGGGGGGAGATGCTTCATTTTGCAAAAAGTGGATGTTTATTCTAGCTCGGGAGCACACAGGGGCTCTCCAGGACCTGGATCTGAGCTGCTCCCCAGAGCTTTGCTAACTACTTCATCTAAAGCACACCCTGCAAGCGGTGCACGGTCCGGAAAGTGTCGCGCAGGGTCCCCCCCGGAGGCACAGCCCTGCGTGGCCGTGGACACACAGTAATTCCCAGCGGGAAGTTTCCATCCGCTGTTTAAATCCCGGCTGGAACACGCGGGGCCGGGCGCGGAGCGGCCCCGCCCCTCACGGGCCAGGCCCCCGCCTCACGGCCGCCGGCCCCGCCCCGCGCTTGCCTCCGCGTCCGGCGGGTTCTCCGCAGCGGCACCGGCGCCGGCGCCGCCTCCAGCCCGCACAGCACGGCGCCCGCCACGGCTCACACTGCCGCTCTTGAAGAGTCCGCGCCCAGCTAAAGCGCAGCGCGGCGGGGCGGGGCCTCCCCCGCTCCTCAGGGGGAGGAGCGCGGCCAATCCGGGGCGCCGGAGGGCGTGGCTCGGGCCGGGGGCGTGGCCTCCCGCCATTGGCGGGGCCCCGCCTGACGCGAGGACAGCGCCCTCCCCTCACACCGCCCCGCGCGCCGGGGCCGTGAGGGACGGGAGGGAGCCCCGCCGCTCCCCGCTCCGGCAGCTCCAACTCTTAACGCCCAGCGTGGGCAAAGAGCTAAAAAAACCTCCTGAACACACACAGTCCAAGTCATAGTGCCAATAAACAGCCCTCAAGTTCACCTGCATCACACTGCCTCCCTCCGAACTGCCCCTCAGCGCCCTGAGGCGAACGCGGGCACGGAGCGAGATGCCCCCGTTTCCCCGCGGGCTTTGAAGTAACCGCAGCCAAGCGTGAGATTGCATAGAAATGCTTTATTATGTTTATCTGACCAAAGTAATTAAAATAAGGCATTCCGGGTTAGATGTAAACATAGAGGTCAGCTGCTGCACAGTGAGCAGGTATATGGCAACAACAGCAAGTGTCAAGTTCTGCTTCTCAAGGGGAAATACAAAATCAAAGCTACATTAATATTTTTGTTTATTTGTTATGAATACGGTTTCTCTCGAGATCTGCTTCTGAAAAGCAAGGTTTGGATTCAACACAATGGGTTCAAGCCTGAAAGACCAAGCTACCCAACGTTCCAGAGATAAAATTGCCTTTCACTACCACAGCTCTTGACACCCAGAGAACTATTCTGTGTTATAAAGACATTTAAATTTTAAGTTCATTAAATATTACATATCCTGCATGTGAGCACACTGTTATTACTAACATGTGCTTTAAGTGTCACTTCCTTTAAAGAACATTATACAGCATATTTGTTTTACTTACATTCTCATGCCTGATTTTATGCCATATATTAATATAGAAAAGGATTCTGCAAGACTCTGCAAAGTAGTAAGCATCTGCCCTACTTGTCACTGACAATGTCTCTAGCAATAAGTTCTTTCATTATTTCATTGGTACCACCATAGATTGGCTGAACACGGGCATCCACAAAAGCTCTGAGGGAGGAAAAAAACAAAACAAGAAAATATTACAAACCACGCCTCAGAATGACCATGCAATTAAAAAAAAGAGAGCATTTATCTTTAGAGATCCCTCTTTTCAAAGTATACGGGAGGAAAAAAACAAAACAAGAAAATATTACAAACCACGCCTCAGAATGACCATACAATAAAAAAAAAGAGCATTTTATCTTCAGAGATCCCTCTTTCAAAGTATATTCTTCCCATTGATAAAGTAGTGCTTATTTTCTAAGAGGCTTCAACTACCTGGAATACTACAACTTTCCAGGGTGGGGTGTGCCAAACCAGGAACTGGGTCAGCACCTCTTCCCTGTTTGTTTATAGTGTAAAGTCTCCACTAGTGCCTCTAATTAAACAAAAATATAAAGCCCTATAAACCCAGACTCCTGCTACTGCTCCACTCCCAATTCTTGTTCCTGCTGACAGCACACAGGACGATGACAGAGCTTTTCCATCTCCATTCTGCTCCCTCACACAGGAGCAATGTGACATTCTCTGGAAATCTACTTATTAATGGAGCACAGAGATAATAAAACCCTGTGTGGGGAACTACTGTACACACAGACAAGCAGGGCTCCAAGGACACCCCAAACTGGCCTTTCTTTAATAAGACAGTGCAGATCACTCACAAATTACACTCTATGAAAACATGGAGGAACAAGTTATTTTAAAGCAATATTTCATATTCAACGTATTTAAAATTTAAATAAAATTTAAACCTCCTCAGTTAAAAAAATTAGTTTCCTTATGACAATGCACAGCAGTCTTGTATTTACTGCTGTGCATTGTTATTACCACCTCTTTGATATATTTAATGAAAACAGCACAAAATCTCTACTTTGTGTGTAACATGGTTGCACACAAACTTCACAGGTAATACATGAGGATATATACAAAAGCTCCATAAATGCCTCTAAATGGGAATGGCAAATTTCTTTTTCTACATATAAATCTCTTAATGTTTTAATTTTAAAACGTGTAAAAAAGCTGAATGTAGCCAGTCATGCTCTTGATTTAATTACTTGATACTCAGTGGTAGAAGAAACATGTTTTCTTCACCCATATGCATTTAATTTCAGATAGAACATAAAACCAGCTCCCCTCATTTCTACTTTTTATAGTTTTGCTTCTGTTTTTTCAATTAACATTTTCTTCTAAAAAACACACTTCTGTGAAAAAAAACAAACCAGACAATAATAGCTGAACAGATTTTGAGTTATTTGGAGAATCAAACCAAAACCTTCCCGCACACATCTGTACAGTAGATTCCCTTTATATTAACCATGAAAAAAGGAACATTAAATCACTACTAACACTAAACAACTAACACAGGGATGCAAAGGAAGTGCTTATCTGACTTTGCTGGCAATGTTTCACCAGACCATCTGAAATGTTACACTTACTTGGCAATTGGATACTCCCACATGTACCCCCATCCTCCGTGCATCTGTACACACTGGGTAGCGACGCTGTTTTGGAGATCAGAACACCTGAAATGGCCAAAAGGAAATTTGATTTTAGAAGGACATCATGTTGCAAAAGATAAAAGGTTCACAAGACAAAAACATAACACGATTAGTAAGAAATAAATACTGTTCAACTGAATGCATTAAAGGTTTGTTCCCTTTATGGGACAGCTTTTGGAGAAGGAAAGGTTTCAAAACAGACAGGCTTGTTTACCTTTCTCACAGGCCAAGAGAATCCTTTTGTGAAGCAAGGTGATACAGTCTCTTTTCTTACCAAATCACTCAGCTTGTCAGAAATTAACAATAAACCAGGCTTCCCCCCACCACTGCCATTAGCAAAACACCAAGATACCCTTTGAGCATAACCATCACCTGGGCATAATTTATTTTCTGCAATAAACTTTCCCAATAGCCTTTTGTGCAATAGCCTTCAATTCTTAAAACACACTGTAATTCTCCAACAGCATTTTTGACAACAAAATATGGATTTAATAGCAAAAAAAAATTGATTTTTTTTCCCAGCACTGGAAGATCAAGCTATAGTTATAAGACACGAAAAAAAACACTTTCTAAGCTTACAGCTTTCAGTGACAACAGAAGAAATGAAAATGAAAAGTTAATTGCTTCTTCTGGAATAATGGTCTTTTCCCCAAACCATCCCCTCATTCATTTAAACCTTTACAGTTTATGATACCAAATGTAATTCTGCAGCTGTGAGTTACTGCAACTGTCTTTCCTAAATACATTCTCAAATTCAAAATTTCAGGTATGTACCACAACCTGTCACCACAAGAAAAAACAAACCAAAACAACCCTACGGACCTTTTCCAGATAGGAAAAAAGAGATGCACAAAACAGGTTTTTAATTCCTTCAAAGCTCTAACTCAAGTCATTGACCATACAAAAAGCTTAAAGGAAAATTCAAGACTGGAGAGAATGTCCCAATACATTAGGGAATAAAGCAATTCTACATTGAAGCATTTATTTGAGTGTTATGGAAGGGTCACAGGGACACCACTGGGGAAAGAGGAAATCCCCAACAAATCATGATGATAAACAGCTGTGAAAGTGAAGGATTTTCAACAGCCTTGCTTAGGGAAATTTGCTGAGGAAGTGAGTCTGCATATCTCAGCTGGCATTAGTTGCTTCTTCCTCCTCAAAATGGAATGCTTCTGCTTCTGTACCTGGTACTTCTAGGTAATCACTGCCAGGAACAGAACCCTTCCTTCCACTGCAAATATTTCTGTTCATTTCCTCTATGCTTATTTTGAAAAGCCTAAAAACTGTAAGCATGTGTATCTTCCATAAATTTCTTTGCTCATGCCTCATGTGCTTTTTTCCTCCCATCTTTGCAACAAGCTGTAACTATACAAATTCATGTACCACTACCTTAGATGTTTCCAGTTGTTTTGCTCTGCTAAAACTAAATTAACATATGACACCACCAAGGACAGGGTGAGGGAGAAGTAGTTCTGGACAATATAGGAAAGCACTGGTCAGTTTCAATTACAGCAACAGCTGTAGCCAACTATTTCTTCCCAAAACCAGAGAGCTTTGAAAACTGGCTAGGTGAAACAGCTATTGTTAAGTAACATTAACTAAACAGTATCATAGAGCTTCAAATATATTTAAATTTGGCTCCAAATATTCAAATTTTGCTTAAAAAAAAAACCAACAAAGCCACATACCCCACTAAAAAACAACAAAGAAAAGCAAGAAAATACCCAACAACAAATTGCTAACAGTAAAATGTAAATTTTGGTCTAAATACCAATGGAGCACTTGCTTTTAATTAAAGCTAAAGCAGAGGCATGATCTTGTTATTAATGGAAGCCTATTTTAAAAGTAAGCCTTTATTTTGAAATTGATCTGGTTGACCAAACTTAGTCCTCAGTGTAACTCTGATTTTTGCTGCCCACATCATCAGAGCTAAGACCATACAAGTGACACCCCCAGATGAGTGGGAGCACGTACCAGTACTTGGCCATGGAGGCTGTGGCAGAGTCCAGGCGTTTGTCTGCGTGCAGCTGCAAACAGTTGTCCATAAAAGCTCGGCCCACACAGATCTGAGTTTTTATTTCGGCCAACCTGTGCTGTACTGTCTTGTTTTGGAAGAGGATGGAGAGGGGAGAGGAAAGAAGTACAGTGCAGTTTAATACTTTAGGTAGAAAAGGCAGCATTTTCCAAAAGGATTGCTGTGAGAAATCACTGTTTCAAACTTTGGCTCTGTACATCAGAAGACATCATACTTTTCAGACAATTATGTATTCACCAGTCCTGTTAGACAAAGTTACTGCTCTTTACTTCTCAAGGTCAACTCAAAACACAAATGTAAGAGAAAAAGCAAAAGAGAAAGGGAAAACAAATTCCTAGAGAGCACGTGGCAGAAGGCCCAGAGCGCTCTGTCACCCTCTGCTCCCTCTGGCAAGGGAATGCCCTTTCACTCTGCAGAGC